TATATATATATATATATATATATATATATATATATATATATATATATATGTGTGTGTGTGTGTGTGTGTGTGTGTGTGTGTGTGTGTATGTAAAACAGCCGCGAAGTCATCGCACACGGGTTTAATGAGCGGCGGGACCGACAGAAAATACCGTTGCGACCGCTATGGCTGGCGAGCTCCCATGCGAGTTATACGAGTTATCCGTTGCAAAAGCGATGGGGCTGGTTCTTTGAAACCATGCCGACACTGGACACGAAAACCGCAACTCGATTTGAAAGCTTGGAAGCTCGCCAACGCCACGAGATTAATTACTACCTCGTCCGTGCAGCACGACGCGAGTAATCGCGAAGTGAACGCGGGTAACACTCCCTGAGGGAGTGTCCGCCGACCGTAAAGTTCGTAGTGAACGCGTTGGAAATTTCGGTGACAATGGTGTCGTGATCGCTACGTTCGAGAAAGTTCATTTTGCTACTCTTGCGACGGATGCGTTGAAGCGGAGAGATCAAGTGTATAAGAGAGGTAAAATACCAAAATGTTTAGACAAATATATAATTCTTATTATTTTGTCTTTAAATACGAATATTTAAATTTTTAACATAAAAAATATACACATATTCTATGTTGAAGGTTTTAATACTCGTATTTAAAGACCAAAACAATAAAAATGTCTAGGATTAAATATGTATCCGGGAATTGGTACATTTACCTTTATCTTTCTAAATCTCCTAGAACGTAATTTCACTTATAATAATTGAAGGTTCGCTCGAAGCAATAGGAAACTACCATTCACAAGAGCGAACGTTTCAAGCGATCTTTAAAGATTTCTAGATTTTTTGCGAAAAGTAAAATATAATAAAATATATAAGATATACTCTTAAATTTCGAAATATCATATTCATTTGATGATTCAGAATAAAGAACTCATTTTGTACGAATGAAAAGTCATTTAAACTAAAGTAACTCACTGTCATGCTGCTTTTCGAGTGACATTTCATTTCAATAAATTTAGAGAGTATAATAAATAGTAGATTTTGCGCTTCATGCGGTGACGAGCCCATGTACTGTGACTCTCAGAAGAGCGAGAGCTTCGAGGAGATGAGCACGATTACCTATTCGTACACCCAACAACCCAGGGACTTTCACTGGGTTCACCTGGTTCACGTAATTTCCAATTCCCAGCTGCCCGACGCCGTTGTAGCCCCAGCCGTAAACCTCACCGGTCTCTGTGACTGCCATGCTGGACGCTTGACCGCATGTGATGCAGACTACTTTCTTCCCAGCCAAGTTGGAATTCACCAGCCTGGGTGAGCCCTGGTTCGTACTGATGCCGCTACCTACTTGCCCGCAATTATTTTGGCCCCAAGCGTACACCTAATTAAACGGCCGTCGAGAACTCGTAGCGACGATATAATTGTCCATCAGCCGTCAGCCATCGTCACTTACCTCGCCATCATCGGTGAGAGCGAGAGAATGATGATTACCACACGCAATGTCCACAATGTGCTTCCCGTTCAAGTTTATGTTCACCAGAGTAGGGCTGAGGCCTTGATTGGTCGAGCCGTTTCCCAATTCGCAGTAGCCATTGTGACCCCAAGAATACACCTGCAGAGAATGTTGTTATTGATCCTGATTTCACATATTTCATATAGTATTATAATGAAACTGCAAGCTGATTTAATGGGATCATTGGTTGTATTGGCAAATATATGAAAGAAATATAAATATATGTAAATAAATAAATAAATAAATAAATAAATATATATATATATATATATAAATCGTAACGTTAATAAGATAGTTTAAGAAACATTTTAAACCTTGATTTTCTAGATTAGGGCTTTTGCACGTAGAAAAATTTTAACCACAACCGTAAGGTTGTAAGAAGACCAATCAGAGTTGATTATTCTCCTTGTATTTGAGGAATAAGAGTGTGATTGGTCAGTTTTCTTACGACCTTATGGTTACGGTTAAAATTTTTTTACGTGCAAAGGCCCTTACAGAAATATTTTTTAATATAAAGCTTTATATAAATATAAATTATAGGAAGATATTGTGAAGCAAACAGTAAAAATGAAAGACTATAAGAGTTCTTGAATGTTGATATAAATATAAATATGAGAGAACTAAATGCCTCTCTATGTTGACAACAATGATCTGATTCGATGAGAATAATTAGAATTCAAATAATGAAGTAAATCAGATAAATATATTAATGCTATGGTCTTAAGAAATTATTGATGAATATATACTAAACTGGAGGTTTTTCTGATATATCCTCAATTTAAAATCTTGACTGTACAGTGATTCTTTGGATTTGCTGTTGTATTTACAATGAGATCAATTAATCACTTTTACTACAAATTGCCAGCATACCTCACCCTTGTCCGTAAGTGCTAAAACATGAGGTCCACTACCATAGGCGAAAGTTTTTATGCCTTTCTCACACAGAGCTTCAATCTTTTTAGGATATAATGTGCTGTGCATGTCGCCAGTACCTAAGCAGCCAGAAGTATTACTGCCTAGAGCATACACCATCTTGCCTTTTGTCATGATTAAAGCCTCGTTACCCATTGTACCTGTTTTAAAGTTTAATATTATAACCAAAAATTTAAATGGCTTGAATAATAATATTGGTAAAATGAATAAGTACACACACACACACACACATATATATACATATATATATATATATATATATATATATATATATATATATGAATATGGTTTAAATAGATATATGATTAAAATAGAAAATGAAAACAGATTACCGTATACCACAGCCATATGAATCTCTGCAACAAATTCCGGCAGAAGCAGCCTGAAAATTGGCCAGTTTTTTAAATCCGAGGAACACATTTTCTTTCTTGACGTTGCTCTCCAACTTTCTATTGATAACTGACGTTTCGGATTTTATGTTAGTGAGGTTATTTACTTTGTAATAACGTCAGATTGCAAATTAACATAGCCCTAAGTTGCTTCTCATCCTGAAAATGACTTCACGTGATTAACAAAATCTCTATGAGCACAATGGTATTCCAATCGGCCTGTGATTCCCAGTGACATTTCCTTTTTGCAATAAAGAAAAAAGCAAACATCAAACATACATATCTCTTCCTACCTTCGCGCACTCTCGCGAGCAATGCTTCATTTCAAGATAAATATTTGTTTTTTGTTAAGTTATAACAGTGTTATAAGTTATAATAGTGTTTAAAAATAAAAATGTTATAAATTATAATAGTGTTTAAAAATAAAGATCACACTAATTAAAAGGAGAATTTTTTACTTTTCAGAATACAATGTCCTTCGATTTTCTCTGTAAAATTCTACTATTTTGAAATAAAAGATTACCAACAAAATTCAATGGTCTATAATTTTGATAAAAGTAACGCTAATGAGATAGTTTAAAAAACATTTTAAATCTTGATTCTCTAGTTTTTTCGTTTCGTGACCACGATACCGTTTGGTTGGTTGGTTTGGTCCACTTAACGCTCGCAACGCCTCGAGCAACAAAGATAAAAGACGCTCGTGGCGTTGCGAGCGTTAAGTGGACCAAACTAACCAACTAAACGGTTTCGTGGTCATGAAACAAAAAACGCCTTAAGCCCGTATCAGACTACCGACTGCACAGGCCGACCCAACAGCCTGAGACGGCGCCTCACTGTGATTGGTCCATTGAGAGTCGGCAGTCATAGTCGGCAGGGGTGGGACCCGATTGACCACGATACGATTGGACACAGATTGCAATGATTGGTTCGACCTAGTAATTCACTAGACAATTCTTTTCATCGGTTGGTTGTGTCCAATCGTACCGTGGTCAATCGGGACGCTCCCAGTCGGCAGTCGGATCGGCCTGTGCAGTCGGTAGTCTGATACGGGCTATATGCCCAATTTCTTTACCTCCAGTTAACTTTATCTGCCAGTTATTCTATTGGAATTGACCAATCATATTTATGGTTGGCAACATTAACCAATCACGATTGACATTTATCCGACAGATAAAGTTAATTGGAGGTGAAGAAATTGGACATTAGAGCCTTTGCACGTAGAAAAATTTTAACCGTAACCGTAAGGTCGTAAGAAAACTGACCAATCAGAGTTGATTATTCTCTTTGCGTTCGAGGAATAAGACTGTGATTGATCAATTTTCTTACGACCTTACGGTTACTGTTAAAATTTTTCTACGTGCAAAGGCCCTTACAGAAATATTTTTTAATATAAAGCTAATTTATTTTTACGATGTTATAAAAGTATAAATCGGGACCCTCGCGCGCGCGACAAAAGTCAAAACTTTTTATAAAGTTTATCAAATTATATCCCATACAGCACCAAATATCTGAAATACATCCCAGAGACGTTCCAGAGACAATGTGATATCTTTGAGATGTCTCTGGGATGTATTTCGGACATTTGTGCTATATGGGATTGGGTAAGAGAAAAATTGTATAGAAATGAGGTTTATGTTACATAAAAGAGCTAACTTTCCCTTTTAATTTGCGTACACATAGAGATCTCAATATAATTTTTTTTACAAAAATATTTAAAGTTGAATAAAAAACACAGTTCTTTCGGCTTTAATCACAGAAGACGAAGGGAACGTTGTACCCTTATAGAAATATCATACTAAGAATCATTGATAATTACTTATTTTCAGTATTAAAAATACTGGATAATAAGTAATTATCAATGATTCTTAATATGATATTTCTAAAAGTGTATGACATTCGTCAAAAAATGTCGAATAAAAAGCTTAAAGATTCCTTTTTAAAATGCATCCATTATATTTTCAATTAAGATCAGTTTTCGTTGCAAAACATAATCTGAAAGATGGAATACAAAATTGGTTGCCATTTTCCGTTCAATTCGATATATTTTTATGGAAAACAATTGTAAAATTATCTCATTAATATAATTAAAAACTAGAAATTTTAAGCTATAAATGCTTTTTGAACGATCTCGATAGCGTTATTTTTGCCGAAGTTACAGCCCATTGAATTTGACCCATTTTCCATGACTTATAGCATATTCGACTAGCTCTGGGTTATTCAGCCTATGTTTATTGGTCGAACAAATACTTATAAGCTTTATGATTGGCTAGTAAAGACTTATGACGTCATTAATCGCTCTCGGAGCAATTAACCTAAAGTCAGTCGAACACGCTATTTGTTTGCACGGCAGCTTAAAATCGGTTTAGTAACTACCGTAGTTAGTGAACTCTTAAATCCGATTGAAGTATATTTCTAGATCTAAAAGAATATATCAATTGGATACGAGAGTTTACTAAATATGGTTGTTACTAAACCGGTTTTAAACTGTCGTATAAACTTAGTCCATGATAAAATAAAAGGATGTCTAACCCGTCGTTAAGTAGTACTACTCAGAAAAAACTGAAAATGAATTGTACACAGTTGCGTTGATGTTATACCATTCACCAGAATAACGATCATGAATCTTTTCCCCTAGTGTAAACTCGTGAAAAGTGAAAATTTTGTAATGAACTCGTGAAAGATAAAAATCTTCACTAAACTTGTGAAAAATGGAAGATTTAACGTGAAATTGTAAGTAAAACAAATATTACAATATACTCAAGACAACACCAACTTGCAATGGAT